CTTTTTCTCCGCACCGTTGCATCCATACGTTGCGTCCCCCCCCAACCACAAAAACCCCCCACACGCAGGGGGGGGGGGGGGAATTCTGGGAGTTGAAGTCCACACATTTTAAAGTTGCCAAGGTTGAGAAACAGTGCTCTATCATGTGTAAGAAATAACCACAAATGAAAAATAAAATTACTCTGGGCCTTGTAGACCAAAACATTAAATAAGATATCAGCATCCAGTAGCAAAGGGCAGTGTGGAAACATTAAATTATAGAAAAAAGAAATATAATTCTGCTTCATTATTTACCTGCAAATGTTTACCATTTCCTATTTTATCATTTAGGAGGGACAGTGACCTACCTATATTATAAACTTCAAACATTATTTTGTATGTGCTATAATAACAAAAGAAAAAGAGAAATGGGAAAGTAGGAAGGGTGAGTTTATTCTATGAAAAATGATTTTTTAAAAGTCCATAATTTAGTCACCTAGATTCAACAGATGACATCAGTGGGACTCAGAAGCAGTCTAGATGGGACACAGAATAAGCAATTGAAATTTCAAGTCTAAAACTTACTGTAAATGATAAATACAGTAACAGGTTACTTGTAAACATACAGCTGTCATTGTCAGTATATGGGCTATTTGTTTCTATTATGTGGGTCCTAATTCTCTGAATAGGATGATTGGTGGAATTTAAGAAATGAAGGCTGAGAATCCCTGTTCTAATCCTTCATAGGTCCATATTAACTGATTTGAGTTGGTTCCTCTCCAAGGCACTTTCCTCAGATTCTTCCATTTCCTCCTTTTTGCCTCTCCAAAATGTGCTTATTCCTCATTTAATTCCTCCTAATACTACTCCGTCTCCTCCTCCTCTCCTCCACTTCAGTTTCTTCTTGAGTTTCACTATTTAATTGGACTAAGATGGGACCAGGGGTAGGTGGTCCTGCATCACTGGAAGACATGTTGTCTTCTTCCTCTGCAGGATAAAAGTGACGTGCAGCTGACAGGAAATCATCTCCCACATCAAGAAGAATAAGCCGGTCCTGAAATTGGAGTATAAATAAAGGGAAACACAATGAAGGTGAAAGAATACATCAGAAATATGATAAGAAATGGCTCAAGATAAATCACAACCAACCCTAGTTAGCATTATATTTCCATCTTATAGAACTGTGTGCAAATATGGAAATATTGTAAGAAAGGGGGTAAAGAGTTTGAGGTAGTCCTGGGGTTACAGGTCTCCCAAACTTTTTGTTAAATACCATATTTATCTGCGTATAACACGCACCTTTTTCCCTAAAATTTGGGGCTGAAATCCTAGCTGCGTGTTATATGCTGATATGCCCTGCGGTTTCTCACCTCAAGCGGCAGGGCTAGGAGAGCAAAGCGCCAGCAGCTGGGAGAGCATTTCTTTTTTGGCAGCTGCTGCAACCCAGCACTGCTGCTCCAGATAGCCGCAGAGGGAGGTGCGGAGCCCGCGGTGCACTGTGCAACGCCCCCCTGGCCACCCACCAAGAGCTGCGCCCGACCCCTCTCTGATCGCGCGAAAGACGGAGCCTCTCCTCCGGCTCCCCGCAGCCTTGCCCACTCCTCCCTCCTTCCTGTTGGGAGAAACTTTGGTGCAGAGGGGCGGCCCCCTCCCCTGAGGGCTTGCCGTTGGGAGCACAGGAAAGTCCAGGGACCGTGTCAGAGCAAAGCACAAAGAGCAGATCCGCAGGGCTCCTCAGTTTGCTAAAATGGGGTGGGCAGGGAGCTGCAAGCCACCCATTCCCTGGGTCTCCCACTTTGCAAACCAGCTGCTGTCTGGAGCGAGCTGCACCTGGAGGAGGAAGAGTGTGTGTGTGTGTGTGTGTGTGTGTGTGCGTGTCTCTTGCCGACAGCAGAGGAGACACAGACTTCAAACAGGAAAGCCAGGAACTCCAGGGCAGAGCGGGGTGCCTCCCACTGCACAGAGCCTCTGACTTTGCCTGGGCTGAGGGACCACACAGTCTGGAGAGGTGAGCGCTACACGCTGCACCTTGCCCCCCCAGTGAGGGGATCGGCACACTGCACCGTGCTGTTGGGAGCACAGGAGAGTCTGAAGGGATGGTGGGAGGCGCCCTGCTCTGCCCGGGAGCTCCTTGCTTTCATGTTCAAAGCCAGGGAAAAAAATCCGCACAAACGCACGTGCGCGCACATACACACACATTGGCGCTTAACTCTTCTTCCTCCAGGTGCAGCGTGCTTGGGACAGCTGATTTGCAAAGTGGGAGGTGTGCGGCTCCCTGTCCGCCCTGTTTTAGCAAACCAAGAAGCACCGATCCCCTCACCGGGGCAGCGTGGCGCAGCGCGTGGTGCTCACCTCTCCAGACTGCGTGACCTCTCCGGACTGCGTGGTCCCTCAGCCCGGGGAAGGGAGCATCTGGCTTTCCTGTTCAAAGCCCATGTCTCCTCTGCTGTCAGCGAGACACCTCCCCCACCTCTCTCTCTGCTCTCCACGAGACACACACACACACACACCCCTCTGCTCTCGGTGAGACACACACACATATGAACACAAACACACACCTGCAGACAGGTAAGCAGGAAGGGAGGGAATAAGTACCAGTATGGTAATAAAC